AGACAAGTCTGCGTGACGCCCCTGTCACCACGGTAACGCGCATTCCTAACCGACGCTAGGGCTTGGGGGCGGGGCTCAAGCGCCCGGGGAAACGAGTGCGTGGCCTACGGAGGGCCGCTGGAAATGAGATTGTGCTAGGAATGCCTTCAGATAGCTCCCGGAGACTGTTCTGGTACCAGTCTGAATGCATGTCCTTCAGCTAAAAAATTCTACCTCTGAAAAAAAAATCTGACCTCCTAGGGATCTTGTGGGAATGAATTAAACTGCTAATTAACATTGTCTCATAGGGCTGGGGATGTGGCTCAAGCGGTAGCGCGCTCGCCTGGCATGCGCGGGGCGCTGGGCTCGATCCTCAGCACCAAAAAAAAGTAAAATAAAGATGTTGTGTCCACCTAAAACTAGAAAATAAATATTAAAAAGCAAAACAAAACATTGTCTCATCCAACATGGTCATCCATCACCAACATTATTGTGGGAAGTCAAGAAAATAACATCTGAAGAGGGCAGCACAGTGCCTACACAAGTGAACAGTTAAGTACTGTTAAATATACAGGAGGCCATTAGTTTGAGCATCTAAGCAAAGGCTGGTCACACCTCCCACACCTGGCTATTTTAACATCTTCAAGGAACGTATCTGTCCAGGATTTTTTTCTCTGTTTCTGCTGTCCTCGCCATTAGTCTCTGTCTTTAAAAGCAGCCTTCTCTGCTCAGCTCATGGGAGCATGCATTTTGTGTGTTCTGATTCTGAAACTGAGTGATGGTAGGAATAAACCCTCTGACTTCACTTGCTTATAGTAACTTCTTTTAATTGATTTTAAAAATCACTAGCATTGGGCTGGGGTTGTGGCTCAGAGGTAGGGCGCTTGCCTAGCATGTGTGAAGCACTGGGTTCAATTCTCAGCACCACATACAAATAAATAAAATGAAGGTCCATCAACAACTAAAAAATACGTTTTAAAAAAAAATCACTAGCATTAGAGGTCACATAGCTGAGTGATGTAGTACTAGTCTCCCATTCACTTTGCAGTAAATACCACCTAATGTGGGTGATGGTGATAATGGGTGCCTCGGTTACTTTTCAGGGACTTGAAGGATTTTTTTTTTTTAAAGCTATGGCTCTTCACTTGGGTCTGTACAAGTGTTGAATGGGCGACTTCTTTGATGTTAGGAACCTGAAAACTCCACCTTCAGATCATACTAATGCTGCCATTTTCTGGACATGTGTCCTATGAAAATTGATTGGGCATGCATAGACCACTGATACTTCACCTCCAATCAGACATCCCCATGTCTTAAATTACCCTGTTTCTTTCTCCCATATCCCAAACCCTATCCTTACTTTCCACCTTCACACTAACCACTTTGTGAAGAAAGTCTTACAAAATTCACCCTGAGATTTCCATGATTGGCAAGTGTGCACTGGGCAGACCAGGTCTGGTTCAGTAACAATTGTAGAATCACAGAGGAATGCCATTGAGAGCTTTAATCTAAATTTGTTTTCATTTTAACTTTTAAAGTCTCTGATTGTGACTTTATATTTATTTTTATTATTATTATTTTTAACTGTGCTTGGGATTGAATCTCATGCATGCCAAGCAAGCGCTCTACCTCTGAGTTACAGCTCCAGGGAGACCTATGACTTTTCAATGAACTGCAAACCTGACTTCAAACCAGTCGTTTTCAAATTTGAGCTCTCATTAGATTCACAAAAAGACCTCATTCAAACAGGATGGTGGGCTCCACCCTGGAATTTTTGATTCAGTAGATCTGGGGTGGGCACGAGAAGTTTTATTTCTATCAAGTTCTTAGGTGATGCTGATCCTGAAGGTCTGAGGCCCACACCTTGAGAACCAGAACTTTAAAATCTTCCAAATCCCAGGACCTCAAGAACATCCAGACCCCTCAGATGGCTTCCAGATGCTCATCCCTGTTGTCCCATCCAGATCGCCTCATTCCTCCCCATAGATTCCTGTGTGCCACGGCCCAGTCACACAGAGTGGTGGAATGTCCTTGCTCAGGTGCCATCTCTTCTTCAGACCTGTGCACACACTGTAATGTGCTCAAATACCAGTTCCTTTTTTGTCACCAAGCTACTTCCCTTCAAGTTTCTGTCATGGTTTTGTGGCGCTGGGGGTGGAACCCAGGGCCGTGCACACGCTAGGCAAGTGTCTACTACTGGGCTACACCCTCAGCCCTCCAGATTTTTTTCTGTGATGCATGACAAGCCCCCATAAATCCTTCAGCCCCTGACGACACCTGGCTAGAGACAGACCTGTCTCTGTCATTGGATGGAGAGATTCAAGCCCTGCCCAACAGCACAGACCAGGTACCCTTATGTAAATGGACAGCAGGTGGAGCCTGTCCTTCCCACCAGTCCACCCCACGGGCGGGGAGGGTGACTTCATTCAAAGAAATCAACTCAGCAGCCATGTACCTAACCCATCAGATCCACCAGTCAACACCACCAGGTCTCCCAGTGACATGCCCAGCTTGGGGACACAGCACCCTAGGCAGGGACAGTGCCTTCATTAGGTCCCAGTGCACAAGGCTTTTGCTGCAGCATTGTGTTAGCAGCAAAAGATGAAATCACCCACATACCTCTCGGGGATGCCAGAATGACACGGGGACATGTGTGCTAGAGGAGCCCCCGCAGATACAAAGGATATGAGACCTAGGCGCGTGCCTCTGGCGTAATGTCTGAATTACACCGTGATGGCGGACAAAATACAAGAAGCAGTGATGTCACAGCATGGGATGTTGAAATGTGAATGTTTTTATATCATCTACATGATATTTTACAATGAGAACAACAGCAATATGAGGCAGCATTTCACGGAGTCCTGCGCGTGCTGGGCGCTCTCCAGGTGGTGAGCTCCACTGCTCCATCCATGAGGTAGGCGCGGTTGGCATCCCGTGTCACAAATGAGCACAAATGAGCAACGGGAGGTGACATCACCTGCCCAAAGTCCCCCAGCTTGGGAGTGACAGTCTGTGATTCTCACCACCTCAACACACTAGGTACCATTTGTGTAGAATGGGAAATAAGACACCCGTGTGGACGTCGCCGGCGCAGCCCGGGAGGAACCCTGCAGACCCCCGCGCCGAGTGCGGGAGGAAGGCTTCTCCTCCCAAGGCTCTCCGTGGTACAGTTGGCATTTCTCTTTTCCTTTTTCTCTCCTCCCTCTCCTCTATTTTCTCTCTCTCTCTCTCTCTCTGTACCAGGGATTGAACCCAGAGGCGCTTACCCGCTCAGCCCCAGCCCTTTCTATATTTCATTTAGAGACAGGGTCTTGCTGAGTTGCAGAGGCTGGCTTTGAACCCACGATTCTCCTGCCTCAGCCTCTTGAGCTGGTGGGATGACAGGCGTGTGCCACTGTGCCCAGCTCCCCTTTGGAATCTTTAGCACATCCTTTTTTTGTGTTTAAATATTTCGAATGGAACAGGACCTGGTAACTCTTCCTAGAGGAACCTGCAGAGCAGCAGCAAGCCCTGGAAGCCAGATTAACAGGCACCTCCCTCAAGGAGATGAGAAGCAGCTGCCCAAACCATCCACCCTGATTTGAGTGCCAAGATCCAATATGACCTTGATAAGAAGCCCAGAAGGCCGGGAAGCTGAGAAGAGCTGGACAGTGGATGTTTCTGAGCTCCCATAGGAAGAGGTGACCAACCAAGAGCCCATTTAAATCCCAGTTTTACACTTTCTGTGTGACTTTTGGCAAGTTACTTAACCTCTCTGAGCCACTTTTCCTCATCTGTAAAAGGTAGAGAATGTTCATAACTCACAGGTTTGCTGAGAAGGTTGAATGTGTCAAGGGCTTAGAGTTGTGCCTGGCACATGGTGAACCCTCTGTAAGTATTTTCTATCACTGATCACAACATCATGTGGAACTTAAAATTCTCTCTTCTATTTTTCCAAATATTTTTTAAAAATATTTTTTAGTTGTAGTTGGACACAAATACCTTTATTTATTT